AATGTAAGCTGACATTATACTGACTCCTAATGTAAAGGGCCACTTACCACCACTTTTCCATTGACATTCATAGAAAGCAGGCATTTCTTCACTGATCACTAACATGAATATACACTGCAATTTTCACTGTCAGCATTTATTTTCTGGCCATTGTTGTTATTTGTTTAATTACAAAAGTATTACTGGAAAAAACAGCTCTGGGTGTCATATATGCTAAGTACATCACTTTCCTTATGCCGCTATTTATTCTTAGAGAGATTTATTCTATGTATCCTTACATTGCAACTCACTGCTAAAGCCATAGATTTTATTATCAGGAGTTCTCTGAGACCTGAAGGTTCTTTTAAGGTTTCCTCCATGTACAGAAGGGGCAGTTTATGGAAAGCCTTAGACATGAGTAGAAAGATCCCTCTGCACGAATTTGTAGCTGTACCCCAGAGGTAGGCAACCTTATGGCACTCCAGGTATGGTAAAACTACAAATCAAGTCATTCCTCTTCCACTGGGTGTCATTCATGTGGCTGTCAGAGTTTTGCAATGCCTCATGGGACTTGTAGTTCAACAACAGCTGCCATGCCAAGGTTGCCTACCCATACTGTACCCGCTACATGAAGGGGGTTTAACATCTCCTGCTGCTTATTTGTCTTGCTCCATTCTAAGTAAAGGACTTAAAAAGAAGTTATAATACTTTATTATTATTATTATTATTATACAGGATTTATATAGCGCCAACAGTTTGCGCAGCGCTTTACAATATAAGGAAGACATTACAATCACAATACTTAAAGGGATGGGGAAGTGATACATGAGGAGGGAGCTGCGTGGGGATAAATTGTTTGAGAACGTGATGGTTGAGCGGTTAGGTTGAGGTGGGATAGGCTTCCCTGAAGAGATGAGTCTTTGGGGACCGCCTAAAGGCAGTCAAGGTGGGCGACAGACAGACAGGTTGGGGTAAAGAATTCCAGAGGATGGGAGAGACTCTAGAGAAGTCCTGGAGGCGAGCATGGGAGGAGTTGACAAGAGAGCTGGAAAGCAGGAGGTCTTGGAATGAGCGGAGCCGACGGTTAGGGTGATACTTTGAGACCAGGTTTGAGATATAGCCGGGGGCAGAGTTGTGGATGGCTTTGTAACTGATTGTTAATATTTTGGATTTTATCCTTTGGGCTATGGGAAGCCAGTGCAGGGATTGGCAGAGGGGGGTTGCAGACACTGAGCGTTTGGTTAGGTGGATGAGTCTAGCAGCTGCATTCATGATAGACTGAAGGGGGGATACAGGGCCGTCTTTAACGCAGGGCAAAAGGGGCAGTCGCCCAGGGCCCAATCATTGTTGTGGGGCCCAAAGCAGCTGCCCCTTCAGCCCACATAAGCAGTGGCGGAACTACCGGTGTGGGCGCACCAGGGCCTCGGGCCTCTAGGGGACCCAGCACAGTCCCAGCGCCGGATCGGTACCCAGCGGCCAGCATATGTCAGTTAGTAGATTAGTGACACAAGAGGACACTGAGGGGGTGAGTTGTGGAGTAGAAAGATAGATTTGAGTGTCATCGGCATAGAGATGGTAAAATAATACTTAAGGTCAAACCCCTAAAAATGACATTGGCTGGATGGTGGAATGACAATTTGCAAAGGAGATCTCACTTTCAGAGTCTTTAAAAGATATCAGGGTTGTTGTGTAATGGAAGTAGCACCTGATACACCTGATGGTGTAGTACCATATTTATTATAATATGAACAACTAACCTAATTTGCAAAGGACCTATATAATATAAAGCATATCTAAACCATAGCTAGATCATATTTGCTAAAGCACTGTGTATCATAAACAGTTTTCATGTTTTATTTTTCATAAAATACTTTTTAAACTTTTTTAAAAATCCTATTTTCATCTCAGAGCTGCTGATCTCCTACAACCTAATTTCAGCCACTTCCTGTCTATATGCACCAGTTTCAGCAGCGGCTGCACATCAATGTTTGGACTGGCTTTCTGAAAAAGACATCAGTCAAATGTCTCAGCAATGTGTGTCATCACAACTGCATGTAGTTGCATTTGTGGGTGCATGTGACAGAGTGGCAATGCAGGAACAATTGAAAGAAAGAAAGTCACAACCTTACAGGAAGTGATTGGCCAAGAATTTTCAAGGCAGGATAGCAAGATATTATTTTAATAAAAGCTGCCTTTAAAAAGATAGAAGTCATCGTGTGAAATGACATAAATATGCAACAGTTCACATGAGATTTTAGCGATAGGATTTACATCTACCTTATTAATATAAATGTATTTAAAGTAACATCTTGTAACCTGTATTACAACACTCAGATTTTGTTTGTGTACTTATTATTATTCTCATTTAATTATAGTTTGCAAATACAGTGTATTAGTAACTTATAGATCGCTTTAGCCGGATTTGTCAATAATGAATGATATCCAAGCGCCCTCTGCAGGTTCCTGCAACACATAACTATCCCTTAGTTCAGTAAATTTGGTTAAAGTTCACTTTGCAAAGAATGTCCTATCATGTGCATATAAGAAATAAAAAAAATGACTTTACAGGATTAAATTACTGTACAGGATTGCAATATGGAGGCGGTCAGAAAAGCACAGAGTTAAGAGAAAATTTCCTTGCAAAGTGACCAGCCTATTTACCTTTAGTAAATCAATCCCCATAAAACAGTGTTCGGCTCACTTCACTTCAGATCAGTCATTCACTCGGCTGCCCTCGGCAGCTTCGTGAATAGACCCCTAGGTCTTTTTTCATGAAAAAAAAAATAAGACACTTATTTTCACAATTCTTAAACACCTTGCCCAAGGTGTAACCAGTGGTAAGCTGTCCACTAGCAGCTCACGAGGAAGCCACTCTGTTTCATTTTCATTTTCATTTTTCCAACAATGATGAATATCTCCCCCACTTCTTTGAGGCACCAGGTCGTGAGCTGCTAGTGGACAGGTTACCACCGGTTACACCTTGGGCAAGGTGTTCAAGAATTTTTGTCACATCTGTTGAAAGCAGCTTTCTGTATCTGTAGACAGTATACAACAGTAACCACATTTTTAAAACTCAGCATGCAAAATATAACACATACAAAAAAAATGTTGCTATTTCCTCTTCTTTGTTTGTATTTACATTGCAATAATTACTGACACCAGTCTAGTGTGCAACTTTCATTTCCTCCCCTTAAAGTTTTTGGGCAAATAATCTAATGTGTATATAAAATTAAACTGGCTTGCCAGAAATGTGTTCATAAGCTGTATAAATGAGAAATCTAAAAACATAGATTGAATTATTGCAGATATTGCATTATATTAGCATTTTCTATTTTATTTATGCTTTTATAAATGTAGCTGTACCATGTACTGTATTTATTCCAGTTAGATATTTAGAATTTACATTCATTTACATTTAAATCAAACTCATCAGCTTTTTTATCATTTTAAAGCCCATCGTTTGGTAGATATGAACCCCTTACCGATCACTTCCTCAAACCCCACTCCCATCTATTCACATTTTTTAAAACTTTAAGATCCCTTTCTTAGCATACCCAGTTCCGCTCTCATGTGTCCCTCATCTATGCCTTTTCCGGGAAGTGGGGATCAGTGGTCCAGCACTGCAGTCCATTCCCACCGCAGACCAGATCTCTCATCATGAGGTTATCACACTGTGAAATCTTAGGGAGCCTTAGAGGACCCCACCGCTGGATAGCCAATGGGAACTCCAACTCAGCAGTCATTTTGAATTCACCCCAGTGCACCAAGGCAATGCATCCATGCTGCAGCACACTGTAGTGCATCCCGTGTTGCACTTCCATCATGTGTGGTTTTGCTTACAATGGGGTGCATTGGCAGCCCTTTCTAAAATGGATGGTATACATGTTAAATTTCATGCATGAGCACAGTGTGAATCGGGTCTAAAAGTTAAGGTCCTGCTTAATTGTTGCCATCACAAAGGGTCTTCTATTATATATATAAACCAGAAAACTCTCATCTGTGCTCCTCTCTGATTAAGCTTCACTTTCTTACTATAGACACAACTTTTCTGGTTGTTGGACTAAGCTCTGCCCACCTGGCTGCACCCTTTCCAATAACAACTCTTTTAATGTCAATTGAAGTGCTTTTATTGGACAGTTGGGATAGACTTAGACCCAAAGTCAGGCCCATAGTAACAACATATATGGTAAATGTTTATACCTTTTGACAAGCCATCAAAAGTAAAAAACTGACCTAATGTTACCAGTTTCCTGGGAGGGACTCCTTCCAGGTCTGATTGACCACTGCTTAAGGGCTTGTTCACACCATCTACATTCAGGCTGCGCTGGCCATTTACCCAGTGCCACACTGAGTATGTAAATTATCATTAAAAAGCAAGGTGTCATGCACAAAGGGCGGCTGCAAAGTATAAAAAACATACATTACAGCACCCTGTCCCCTGTCCACAATGCCCAGCTTCCATGCACTGAAGAAAGGGAGCAATAGGACTTGAGCTGTACAGCGCTCCAGACACATTATTCGCCCCCTCTTCACTATCCTCCATTCCGAAAATGCCTTGTTTTTTTGAAAAAAATCCAAGACATTCTGTAATTGGAGGAGAGATGATGTCCGATCCCTTCCCCACCTCTCCATAGAATGCCTTGTATTCTGTCGAGTAGCATCTCTGTCTCCCCTTAGTGCCCAAAAGCTCAGTGTTATGTCCTGGAGATGGTATACTGCAAGGCTAGATTTTTATACTTTGCAATGGCCCTCCACACTAAACATGCAGCTTTTTAATGATGATTTACACACTCACGCCAGTGTGTAAATTATAATTTTTCCCAGAGTGTGGCTTTAAGGAGATTGCACAGATACAGTATATTGTAACATGTGTGGCCAGCTTCATGCTTCAAAACAACTGGAAAAATACAATATTGTAAAACATAACAAAAGTAGCTCCTCTCAGTGTAACACATCCTTACACAGTGTATGGTAAATCGTTTATTTGTTTAAATTATTTTCAAATTTCATGCGATGGCCACATCTGTATACTATTCGAGTTAGAATGTAGCTCCTCGGGTGGTATCTCTGACCCAGGTCAGATACTTGCTTGTCAGCCGAGTGTAGACTCCAGGGAATTTGGGATCTCCACATTTATTCTGAGGCCCAAATGAGACAATGCCTGTGAACTTTTTGTCACAGATCAATGGCCCACCAGAGTCACCCTGAAAAGGATCACACAACAGTGAATGCTTGTTCATAAAATATACATACTATATTATTTATGATCTTAACTAACTGCAACAAAATGCATCAAGACACATGTAGATAATCTAGTGGTACAACCAATATCTGCTTTCACCTCCCAACATCTTGAATGACAAATCAGACATAGTGTATGCAGTGACCAGAATCCACCTATTCTCTGCATCACATTTGTTTATACTGATCAGAGCCTCAACCATTTTTATCATGCCATAATCCACAAATGTTTACAATCTGTTCCATCGGCTGTTTCCAGCACACTATCATTTACCCAAATGTGAAACCTAAATAGATTAAACACTGTCACTGATTTAACACTGTTACTGACATGTCAAAAGTCTGCAACCCTCACCTTTATCTCTAAACCCCCCCCCCCCCCCCCCCCCCCCCCCAATCACCCGGT